GGGGGGGGGGGGGGGGGGGGGGGGGGGGGGGGGGGGGGGGGGGAGGCCCCGGGGGGCCTGCGGAGGCGAGGCGAGACGGGAAAAAGAACAAGGTGACGATTTGGTAAATTGAAACCGGTCGATTGGGGAAAAGTTGGCGGTGGAGGAGGGCGAAGATCAGCTGGAAAATATACCGGCACTTGGGTTGATTATTGAAGCGACTCATGAGAAGGGTTAGTTGTTAGTGGAGGGTGACGCGCTATATAGTGTTCTGCGGTGGTGACGCTTGCCTTTTCAGTCGGGTCAATGTTCAAGAGAGCGGAGATCAGCTGGAAAGTATGCCAGAGTTCGGGTTGATTATTAGATAGGGAGTGCGAACTTGCACACATCAGCCTTGAGAAAATGCGAGGCTACGTAGACGAACTATCGCCTGCATTTGTTCTTTCGTTGGGCCACTACTATAGAGGTAACATCTTACAGCGCTTTGAACAGCGCGACATCAACAACGTGAAATATTGCACAGGAGACCTCGACTTTGCCATTCTGTTTACGATACGCGTGCACTATTGTACGGAAAAAAAGCCCCGAGCACAAGAAACAAAAAACGCTCCCGGTTCCAGTGGCCTTCATTTTTGCTACGCATCCGGCGATGAAAAAAAAAAAAAACAAGTAGGAGCTACGACACGACGAAGGGTATAGCCTAAATGCGCCTCACGACAAAGTTTGTGCAAAGTTCCTACCATCATCGTCTCTTACGGGTTTTTTCTAGTCAACTTCATGTCTCAGGTCCTCCTTATCTTGAACTCACCGGGGGGGCGTGGGCCAGGTGGGCCCAGGGGTCCAGAGGGGTCAGAGGGATCGCCGCGACCTCCAGCCCTGTCTTCCCCCTGTGCGCGAAGCTTCCTGCTCGGCCTCTCGCCGCGCAGAGACTTCATTCCCAAGTTCATGAGACCGACGCTGAAATCCACTTCCTCTTCTTCCGTGCCACCGGGCGTGGGAGCGGGGGAGCCGTGGGGAGGGGGGGGCGGGGGCGGGCGAGGCCCCGGCGGTCCTGGCGACGGAGGCGGGCGAGGGTTCAGAATATTAGGCTCTCGTGTGCTCGAAGTTACGCGGACGCAATGCTTTTGCCTACATTCCTTTATTCCGCTCACAGCTCCTTGCCCTTCAACTCACCGGGGGGACGGGGTCCAGGCCGGTCGGGATCTTCGGAGGGGTTCGAAGGATCGTCGTCGGGACCCGGGGGTCCTGGCGAACGAGGCGGGCGTGTAGGTTGTTTTGTGACTGGTAGGTCGGTGTGATTGCGTAAGAGCTGCATAGTGGTCTGCGGCGGTAGCTTTGGCATTTCAGTCAGTACGACATCGCATGCCAGATTAATTCGGGTTGACCTTCGGAGAGAGACCGGGAGGGAGAGCCGGGATGCAAACATCCGGCTTGTGTTACTCGCTACGTTGACAATGCTTGCCTGTAAATCCTATTGCTATCTTGCTTCCATGTACCGTAGCAAATAGTCTGGCCAGACATTGCACTAGGGTCTGATTTGAGATGTAATCAGGCGTGTGCCAAGGGTCGCCAGTGGTGGTGTTATCCGAGGTATTCGCTTAACCGTCCCCGGTAGAGAGGTTGACACGGTCGTGCCAGAGAACCAGAGGCCCCTTCATTTCACAAGATGTTTGGATTGATCAATCACACTATTGCCCAACGACCTAGCCTATCGTGGCTAGTAACGTGTTTCGAAAGACTGTAGAGCAA